GGTTTGATCTTACTCTATATGATAAAACGGGGAGAATGGACCTTAGTAATATACAAATAGAAAGTAACTTTTTTGGAGCACACACAATGGATGCTTTATACAACAATACTATTTTATTTGCGAAGCCAGAAAATAAAAGCTCTTGGAGCATTATTGGCTACCATATGAAAGAATATGTGACTGATACTGGTAAATTCTTCTTATTAAGTTAGTTTCTATATTGTAACTTAAATATTTTAACATTTCATTTGATGCAATTATATAGCAGGCTTTCGTAATCTCATGATCAACTCATCATTCCCTCCTAACAATAATACATATTTAACTCTTCGGAATACTTCAAATCTTACTATTACATATAATTTTAAAATTATAAAATCATCATTTAATCTCTTAATTTACCAAATAAAGGACAATACAAAAATATTGTGCCAAAAATATTCAGAATTATCACACCATTGTTCAATTGCACCTGACAATTTTACAATAAGCTGTGGAATTCTAAGTAGCACTTTCAATATTTTAGATTCAACTTATCTTTTAATCGTTGAGAATGGATTTGTCAAAGAGTCTATATATCAAGAGCCATTACCAGGCATTACGGGTAATTTATGGATAGTAAAAACAGAACCAGTACCTCGTGAGTAAATACATATGCTAGGCTAGCTAATAGTGTTTCTTATTATTTGAATTTTTATTTTATTTTATTTTATTTTTTTGGTTAATGGATTGTTATTTTATTTATTGTTAATATAGAGAATAATAATAGCAATAATAAATATGTTGGTAAGCCTCGTAATTAATAACTATTATTTTGTTACAAATTTTAATGAAATTAATAATAATATTACTATTATTATTAGATTCAGTCACAGTTTGTCTGAAAGTGGAACAAAGTATTTTATTAATTTAACCTCTGAAAGCCAACAAATGTATATCATTGAGTTAAGTGAAAAACTTGTTAAAAGCATTCCTATTGATCCTTCAAGGTTGAAATTCTCCGGACGCTTTGAAACTGATTCAAGTGGACAGATATTGTTCGAACTTTCTATATACGCAAAACAAAATTCTCAATCAAATGTAACCCAAATAATAGATGACCTAAACACATTATTTGGTAATAAACAAATTACTAATCTAGCAGATGTTGATATTGATAAACACTATCCATTTACACCAAGATGTAAGTATTATCGAATAATGTTAATGTATATTCAATTTTCCAATTCATTTAATATGTTTATATCCTCATATTTTAGCAAATGTATTTGATGAAATCAAGTATTTTGCAATCGAGTTAGCAGCTTTCATTCCATTTTATTTCCTTGCAGTCTATTTGCATAAAAGAACAAGAAATCAGAGAAAATGTTTGTATTTTCGGGAATTTTCACCCACTAAAAGTTGCCCTCATGAATTAAAATGTTTATCCGAATTTAAGTGTTACAATATACAAAAAGATGAATTTAATAATGTTTTTTCACAAAACAATGTAAGATTTTAAAATATTTTATTTAAAATGAATATCATATTGTTGCGTTTATTGTAACATTTAATATTTTTTTTAGTGTGACGAAATTATCTTTTTTACAACAATTTTAAATATAATTCTCTTGATTACAAACATCTTATTTATAATATATGATATACGAAATGTTCCAACAAAAGATCTTTTTGTTATAAGGTTAGTATCATAAATTTTAATTTAATTCATTATTAATTTATATTAGATATTTTATTTATTTATTTATATATAATCTTATTTTCGTAACGTATATAGTATTGTTATATTGTCAACCAAGATTATCCTGGATATAATTCTTGCATTTATAGTTATATACAAAGAAAGTTCAAATCGTTATTTTAGAGAGTGGATTGCCAATAATACTATATTTGCTGCTTTTTTTACCTTGTTAGCAAGTGTTAATATTGAAATTTTATTATTATCAAGTTCTCATTTTGCAGGATTAGACATATTTACTGCTCCAATTTCAAATCAAGCAAAAAACTTTATTTTTTGGGGTAAAATTTTAACTATTATTGTTAATGACATACCATGGTTAATAATTCAAGTAAGTTCCAATATAAAATATAAATTTTTTGGAAATAGATATGCCTAACTAATGTTGGATTCTGTCATACTCATATTTAATTAATGGAGAATGTCGAGTATTATTTCTATAAATTTACTGTACATGCACATAATTTCTTGACTCATGTATAATACTATATTAAGATCACGGGATTAATGGTCAATATGCAAATAAGCGGAAATGTTGTTTTCACTAATTCCCTGCGGATCAGAATAATGTTATAGAAAAATTTCACGGACAAGGCATAAATGACAGCTGTATATAATATTTAGGGATACGAGACGATTAAATTTTGAAGTTTTAATTTTAAAGAAAAAGCGTAAAATGTATGGCAGAATCCCAACATGAGTGTGAAAATACCTAATTTCTTAAATTATTGCTATATTTACACATAAATGCTGATATAAATCAACTCAATTTGATTATTTCATTTTATCTTAGGTGTGTTACTATTTGAATACAATTACATACAAGACTTCCATTACTCGCTCTTATAATAAGTTTTATTTTACTGAGTACCTCAATTGTTCAAAAAGCATATGTATTTGGATGCAAAGATCACCACAAAATCTATAAAGCGTTATCTGATAAAAACTTTGATGTTGGAAATGATATGGAAATCTATGATGGCAAAAATAAATTTACCAATGAAACATCTTTATATGGAAACGAAGGTACCGTAAATGTGATTTATGATAATCAATAAGAATGTATTTTGCTTAATATTTTATATAACAAGATTAATTTGTGTAATTTTATTATCGATTATTAATAAATAGATAACAATTTAAAAGAAGCCATGCTTAAAGAAGATAAAATGGATCGAATTGTATTATAACTTTATAAAATTGTAATTAAGTTTTTTTTAAACCAATGAACAATGTGAAATGATTTATAAAAAAGGTAGCTGTTTGAAGCAAAATGGAGAAAGAGAAAGTTTTGTATATATTTTTAGCTATCTACTCAGAGACTATTTTATTTATACTATATATGTTAGTTATTATTACATGGTATTAAATAAATATATGTATGCATAGTGTTAATTTTGTCTCGAAATAAAAATTACTTATCCTTAAAAATAAAATTTATATATTATAAAAAACATTTAACTTTATATAATTGTTTTTAACTAGTGTAAATTTTCTAAAGTGATATAAGCTTCTTACATAAAAAACCAATAAAATTTATAAAATATTCCATAATGAAAATGAAAGTAAGGATATAAAAACAGGTTTATAGAACTTATTTTCTAAGCACTTTAATACCATTATTTATCGAAATTTGAACTACAACAATCAAAATATCATATTTACAAAGCGCTGCAAATGGTATTTTTACAAAGAGCTTGTTAATATTTTTCACTTTAAAATTAAGTTGCTTACTAGAAATGTCAGCGTGACATTATTATAAAGATCTTTTGCTAATGCTTCCTCTTCTCAAAACCAAGTTAATTAAGATCTAGGAAAATCGGAAAAGAATTTGAACTAAAAACTTTACAAATGGTTTCCATCATCAAAACAATTCAAAACAATATAAACGTAAATGTGGTATTTTGCGATGAACCTCCTCAATTGTTTTTATACTCTCGACACCAGTTCAGTAACTATAAGATTTAAAGAAGTTAGAGTTGTGTTTGTACGATGTGCCACTGCAAATGCTCTCCCACTTTCGGAACCGAGATCATCCTTAAAAAGTTTCAAAGAAGTTAGTGATGTTTCTACAAAGAGCATTTGCAAATTTTTTTCCATTCTCAGAATCGAGTTGATTAAATCCTGTTTAATGAAGTTAAAATAGTACACGTCACTCTTGTTATATAGACATCTGGATATACCGACATTTGATTTAACGACATTTTTTAAAAATTTCAACCTATATACTCACTATGAAAATGCCTCTGACTAAACCGACATCTGGATATATCGGACAGTTTTTGAGGTGTCGATATAACCAAAGTGGCATGTATTTATACAAAGAGCTTCCGCAAACGCTTTTCCATTGTCGGAAAAGAGAAAATTATCTAATATCTAACGAGGTTAAAGTAGTATTTTTATAAAGATCCTCTGCCAAAGCTTTTCCAGAGACAATTATAACTTAAATTCAAAGTTAGAGTAGTATTCATTCGAAGAGCCTTTCCAACCCCAGAACTAAGTTTATTATTCCTTATATTTAAAAAAGTTAACGCAAAGAGCCTCCGCAAGTGCTTTTCCACCTTCAGAACCGAGTTTATTACATCCAATATTTGAAGAAGTTAAAGTAGTGTTTATTTAAAAAACCTTTGCTAATACTTTCCCACTTTCGGAATCAAGATGATTAAATCCAATATTTAAAGAAGTTAAAGTATTATTTATACACAGAGTCTCTGCAATTGCTTTCAAATTATCAGAACCGAGTTGATTTCCACTAAGGTTTAAAGAAGTTAGAGTAGTGTTTATGCAAAGAGCCTCAATAAATGCTTTCCAACCGTCAGAACCGAGTATATTTCCATTAAAGCTAAAAGAAGTTAGTGATTATGCAAAGTACTTTTACGAGCTCTTTCCCACTTTCATCATCCAATTTATTTCTTTTAAGGCATAAATGGGTAATAATATTTCTGCAAATATCTTCTATAACCATAAACTATCATAAATTAATCCGACAAACAATAAATGTTTAAGTCTCGTAAAAACATTGTAATTAGGAAACATCTAATTACATTTAGAACTCTAATAGCAATTTTAGGTGCAGGAAATTTGTTTTCAAGCCAATAATAGATTACATTTTTTCAACTCATCTAAATCATCTGAATAACAGTGAGGTGTAATATGACTTATATAACTTGTATATTCAAATAATGGCGTTGAAGTTTTTGAAAGGAATATATTAAAAGAAATTATAGAGCTTGTTATTATAGCATTCAATGATAAAAGACACATTTTTATAAATCTTTTATCATGTAAACCTGGTTTACTCCATAATATTGGTACGATAATTCTACACCATTGTCGATTTACAAGAAGGCATAGAATAAGCTTCTATGATGAGTCTAGAGGTTATTAAATATTTATAAAAGGCATTCACTCGGTAATGCTACCATTTTATAAGGATCAAGAATTAGTTGGTTATTGTATAAGTGATAAAAAGTGAAAGCCTGCAAACTAATTAACTAACGTTAAACAAAATTCAACTGTCCTAGCGTAACCAATTGTCAGAGGAGAAATCGATGAAATCACACACCCAACAACAAGAAGAAAATGCGACGAATTATCACTTGAAATTCGTAAACGTTGTATAATGCAACTCGAAAGTAAAGAGGAGGCAGATACGATTTGGCAAGGTCTAGGGCAACTATCGAGTACGTTACAGAGGTAAGTAAATAGAGCGGTTTTGGTTTTGGTGGAATTTTAGGAGAATGTTTTGTGTAGGGTATAATTTCTCTATCTGCTGCTACATGTGAAAAATACGCCACTATTTATAATAAAAGTATCAAGAAAGCAAAAGAACAGAATCGAAACTTTTGTCTTTTTTTTGCTATTGGACCTAAACATCTTTTCTTATTTTCAAATATTATTAAAAAAATTTTTATTTAATATTTAGATTATAAATATATTTATAATAATTTTTTAGACAAATTTGTCTAAAAAAGCCTATAGATTAAGAGATAGATTATATAAATCTAATATATTATTTTAATATTTATCTAGCTACTTTTAATTAGTGCTTAGCACATTTAAACAAAAACTTGATACTCAAATACTTGTAATTAGTAAACATTGAATTATTATAAAACAATCAAGTTATATATCTTAAGTATTTATATGTATATATATAACTAACTTGATTTATGATTATTTGATGTTCAACTAATCACAAGTATTTGAGAGTCAAGTTTTTGTTTAATTGTACTGAGTATTATTTTTAATGGTGTTTAAATATATCTTGTTATACTACTTATATGCTAGAACCAAAACAAATACTTATAGTCAAAATATTTAATATTTTAGCAGAATATTGATATTAAGTTACTTTAAAAGTAGAAAAATTGAACTTATATCTGATTCTATTTTAATATTCTAAATCTACTATTTTTTTAAACTATATACTCTGTATTATCTACTTTTTTGTTTTTATATAACTTTTAAATTAATAATATTTGAATTATAGATCTTTTATTTTTAAATTGTAATTAATACAGTTCAGAAAGCATAAGGTATCCACTCTATATATATGAGGTGCCAATTTTGATGCTTATGTAATCAATTATGATTGGCTAAATTTTGTATAATTGATTCTGATTGGTTAATTTAATATATATCATTTCTTTTTTTTATATTAGACAACAATTTTTTAAATTATTATAAACTTTAACTCTTAATAATTTCATTAAATCAAAAAATAATAAAAAATCCTCTGACAAAAATGTAGTTTAGTTAAAAATCTATCAATTTGTTAGAGGTGTTTTTGATTTAACTTGTTTTGAAAAAGTTATAATGATTTAAAGTTTTTATTAATAAAAAGTGGATATGTTTTGCTGTTACGGACTATACAAACAAATTTATATATATTGATACTATAAATATACTACAAATCTATTTTTAACAATTTAGAATATTCAAACAAAATTTAGTATAATAATATTTAAAAATAAAGATTACTTTTTTGTAATATTTATTTTTAAATTATAAAAAAAAATTTTAGATTACTTATAAACCAAAATATATAATTTTGAACCTAATTTTAAAAAATATTTTAGTTTATTTATAACAAACTTTTAAATATTAATTTTAGATTTATAGTTTCTAATATGACTTTATAGTTTGAATCAAAGATTAT